ATCGCGTTGCGATTTTTATTTCGCGTTGCGATTTTGTTGGTCATTTTGGCAAATCCAAAAAAATTTGGTTAAAATCGTATATTATAACTTTTTTTTGGTCACTGAAGCGATTTTCTCATAAAAAAAATAGAGTAAGGGAGAGAAGAGCACGTGAACATTTTATGTGGAGATATGGGTGAAGGAATAAGTCAAGGCAGGTAGGTGGTGTTGGTAAAAAATACATAATCAGATAATGATAATTATAAAATAATGGAAGAGTGGGGCACGATTTGACATTTACGTGTTGTTCTTTTCTCATTTTCTGTCTGTCACACAAATTTCGAAGGCTGTAAGGGCATCGAAATGTGGAGCTAGTATCGTCGTCTCCCTTTGTCACTCTGTTGTGCAGTCGAACATTCGCTGTAAAGAAGATAGATTATAGAGCATTTTTTTGGCCTCTTCTATTTCGTCAAACTTTGCCTAATTTAATTCGCCGGAAAAAAAAAAAGAAACAATGAGCCAAAGAAAGAAAAAATGACATGCAGAAAAAGAGATGAGAACCCATTAATTCGCGGGAGCTGCCTGTACTGTAGAATGTCACTGCTCTCGCTGAGTTATTTTCCCGACGCCACCAAAGTTAAATTGACCTTAGTGGACTCTGACCAATCTGTCAGTCATTCGTCGCCTTGATTAGAGTAGACAGTACAATCTAAGTGGTTTTTCTTTATTATTTTCTTTTGGGATATCTTTTAACTATTTTCGTGTTTGATGACTGCACCAACCATCATCACCTTAATCTTCACTAATGTACTGATTTCTCAGTCAAACTTTGCTTGTACGAGGTGTTTAACATGGTAATCATCAAGGTAACCAGACGGTTGATATAGGGTTTATAATCCATACGAATAACACCCAAAGTAGACATAAAAAGTAGAATGTTAGACGGTGAAAAGATAGATATTAGTGTGCATGGTGGTCGTGGTCATTTCTGAAACTCAGAAAACAGCTAGTAGGGTCGAGTCTACAGCTATGTTTTATCTTTGTTTAACTGGTAAAATATGGATCTAGTGGTAGATTATTTGATATATATATATATATATATATATATATTATAAATGTAAAGGTGGGTTAGGTGAAAGATTTATATAGTATTTTTTTTCTATTCTATTTGTTTTTTTAATGAAACATATTGGTCTCATTAAAAATTCCTTCTAAACCTAGCAAGGGGAAAGAGTGCCCAAATTATATTAATCAAAGATCAATGACATCGTTTTTAACATTTTGAACAATGATGTCGGGACAAACCGACTCAAAAAACAAAGAACCACTCGAATTTAAAGTCCAACTGGCTAATGCATGAGCAACCTGATTACACTCTCTAGGAGTATACAAGATACAAAAATGAGGATGATCCTGAAAAATAGTACGAGCCTCTTGAACATACATCCCGAGGGTGGAAATATCTGTATAAGTTCGTGTAATCTTATGGACAAACATCAAGGAATCAATTTCAAACTGAATATCGTACCATCTCATATCACAAGCCATTCTAAGACCAGCGAGTAAAGCAGATAGTTCCGCAAAATCCGCATCAAAACATCCAACAGAAGATTGGGCCAAACCACCACAAACATGTCCACACTTATCACGAGCAACAACTCAAATTGTAGACAATCGGCGCTCCGCAACAAAGGCACCATCAACATTCACTTTGATAACTCCCTCCAAAGGTGGAGTCCATCGTATAGCAGTATTTGTAAAGGAAATATGTCCCTCACTTGATGGCTTGAACGTTTTTTATTCAAGGTAAATACATTTTTTATAAGTATAATGTGTATTTTCTTTTTTTTGGAAAAATATTGGAAGAATTATTTAAAGAATTTCAAAATATGAATAATTTTTTCACTATTTATGTACGAGATGGCTTGAGCATTTTTTATAATAAAAAGACTAATAATTACTAAAATTACGAGAGTAAAAAGTGTTTTAACTGATTAATTTTCTGCCAGTTATTGTAGTAATTTCTGCGTAATAAAAGGATTTACATAGCTGGTATTTAATCCTATATTTTTTACATTGGACGGTCCATTTATGGTTCAATGTTTTTCACTCCAAAGTCCAAACTTATAAGTAAAGAAGTTTTCTGATCATTTTAATCCACTCAAAGCACTTCTACTTGTCTCTTCAACAATTTTTTTTATCTTTATTATATAGATTTTATATCCATTGTTTACAACATTTAGTGGAAATTTATTATAAGATAACACTCCTGACACAAAGGGTTAAATATTTATTGTTCAGATTTAGTAATAAATTAAAGGGTAAAGTATAGTAATGGTCACTGAACATTTCTGAAGCTTGCATTTAGGTCCCCCAACTTTTAAAACTTGCAATACAGTCCCCCAACATTTATTCCGTTTGCAATATGGTCCCCCAACTTAAACCAACATTAGAAATTAGGGTAAATTATATAAAAGGTTATTGAACTTTTCAGACACTTGAATTTAGGTCCCCCAACTTTTAAAACTTGCAAAACAATCATCAATTTCATTCTAAACCCCAATTTCCAAAGTAATTCAATTTCATTCTAAACCCTAAATTCCAAAATAATTCAATTAAATTCAATTATGTCAGATTTATTATTATTTAATTTCATCTTATTTCATGCGATACGTATTTTTTATATAAATATAATAGTATAATTTTTATCCGTTGAAGAAATTTTTTAATTAAAAAAAGTAGTTAGGATATAGAAGAGGTTGAAAATAATTCGAATTTTAAATTTATAAAATGTTATTTTGACGTATAAATAAAAGTGTAAACTACTAGGTTGACAACTTAACTATCTAGCCCTTTTTACTTTTGTCATCGATCTTTTAAATTTATCAATCATACAACATAATTATTTAAATGTTTCAACTAAGCCACTAGTCGTTACCAATTGATACAAATGATGAAGTGGCAGTTAAAAGGAATTGACATTATTATACATTCAGTCTTTATTATTTATATAATCAATTTGGTCCTAAATTAAATAGAATTTAATAAATTAATCATTTAATTAGGATCTGACATGTGTTAGCACATGATCATGACACGTGTCATTGGTGACACATGTCACCACCTAATTATTTATATATGCTATCAATTTGGTCCTAAATTAAATAAAATTTAATAAATTAATCATTTAACCAGGATCTGACATGTGTTAACACATGATCATGATATATGTTATTGGTGACACGTGTCACCACCTAATTAGATGAAAATTAAGTTACAAAGAAGTAAAATTTGGGTCTTGGGCAAACTCAAACCTGAGTCACGCAAATGAAAGATACAGGGTGGAGCCACTAAGCTAACACCATCGTTTGTGTTAAGAGATATACAATAATACATATACTAATAGTATGACCAATGCCAGAAAAAAAAAGAATATAATGGAAAAATGAAATAATGAGATTTGAACTTCGGCGAAAAATTTGAAAGCAATAAATGATGGGAAAATATTATATTTTTTTACAATAAAAAATATTATATTTGATAAATTGTTTGATAGATTTAATATTTTTTTAATATTAGTTGATACAATATTTTAAAAGAATAAATTTAAGATTTATATATTTTTAAACTAAATTTAATAATTATATTTTTCATATTTATAATTCATGATTATATATATATAATCTTAAGTTGAGTATTTCTAATATAATTAATAATTTTAATTTCTTATTAAAAATAAATATTCAAAAAATATAAATGATTCATACATTAATATATGAATATATATTTTTTATTTATACATCTAAATATAAATATACATTTATATAAATATATTTTTATTCGTATATTGAAATATTTTGATTAAAATATAAACATATTTTAAATACTAGTTTATACAAGAAAAATAAAATATATCAAAAATATAAATGATTCATACATTTAAATATAAATTGAATCATTTATATTTTCTATACATCTATATTTAATAAGAAAATAAAATTATTGGGGGACTGTTTTGCAAGTTTTAAAAGTTGGGGACCTAAATTCAAGTGCCTGAAAAGTTCAATGATCGTTTATATAATTTACCCTAATTTTCTAATAGTGATTTAAGTTTGGGGACCATATTGCAAACGGAATAAATGTTGGGGACTGTATTGCAAGTTTTAAAAGTTGGGGGACCTAAATGCAAGCTTCTGAATTGTTCAGTGACCATTACTATACTTTACCCTAAATTAAATTAAATCTTATAGATAAAAAATATTATTTTTCGGTTTAATAGTTTGAGTCCATATTATTCTTAATACTAGGGTTTTTGCCAAAAAATCCCAACACCTTTTACTCTTCTTAACTACCCCTTGCCCATATTTTTCTCTTCATCGTCTCATTATAACTCAAAATGCCAAACCCACCAATCTATCATCTCTCAACCCCCCCCCCCCTTGAACAGAGGTGAGACTCTTGGGGGAACTAAAGGGATAAATAAGAGAAACACAAGTACACAACCCTTAGCATCAAACCCTCTTTTGAAGAAAGTTTGAATCCTGATGTTGTAAGGGAGCATTTCCTTTGAGGGGAATGTTGTCTGGATCGGGGACACTTGTTTTAAATCCATCGTTATTGGCTGCCAGTGTCGTCGGACCAGGCTTCATTCCCCCCAATCATTGCTCCCATATATGAACTTGATGCTTTGCAAAGGCTAAAATTTCAGATCAACCACTGCGGAATGTAAAGGTTCCGGTTTTCAGCTTTTGATGGTTATTCGAGTTTACGTTAGATCATTGGATTGGGTATGTTGTTAGTTACGTGTGGTGTGATGAAGAGTTTTGACTAATTTGATTTTTCATCATCATCATTTGTTTTTCCTGTGTGTTTCTGGCAGTACTAAGTTGTAGCCCTCCTTTCAGGGTCATCATTACTCTGATCTTTCCCATGATGTCTTTTTTATTTATCTCATCTGTCAGTTTCAGATCCGGCTTTGAACTTTGTCAAACGTTATCCCTTCTTTTCAGCGCTGTTCCCTTCTTTCTTCTTTTTCCTAGTCCATAGGGTTTCCTTTTGACAAAGCCTAAGCCGAGAGATGCAAGTTTATTTTTGATCAGCTTTCTTCTTCATTGAGATGCAACCTTAAACCCTTACATTGACCAACAACTCATTACATGCTTAGCCGAAAGGTTAGACATGGTGGAGTTAATGGTCTGAGCGGTGAAAGCTTATTGCATTTAAATCCTGGACGTTAGGAATCTACGAAACCAATGTCACAATCTTCTTCTTAATACTTGTACCTTCAGGCTACGACAGCTATAAATCTCCTAATTTCTATAGACAGAATTAATGTTGTATTAAATTTCCGTTGGACCAAATAGGTTGGATTACAACCTAGACGTTAATGCCTCTATTTCAACTACGAGCATAGTATTTAACAAGCATAGACGTTAAAGCTTGGTTTCATTTCATTTCACCGAAAGCTGCTAGCCACTTCCCATTAGCTGAAAGGACGTCTGATTTGGACACATGTCGGGTTTCCAACATGTAGATGGGTTTCTAACGTGGTTTTATGGCACTTTGAAGAATCTAAATGTCTAAACTCATTTACAAATTTAATATGTCATTCAACTCATCCAATTGGTAATTGTTTAAATTTAATAACTATAGTCTCAGGTGGAACCGAATCTTTGGCTTTGTATGGTACAAATCAAAAGCGTTACAATGACTTTTGAAAACTAGTTTTGATACTTTATTCGTAAGCGATGAAATTGAACAAGCCTCTATGTACCATTTATTTAACGCAAGGTTAAGATTCTAAAATCAAATCATAATCACAAAAAGAAAAAGTTGCTTTGGATGCATGTGGTGTACGAATAAAATGGACGGACCAACGATGATTTTAAAACAACAGCCTATGATTCCATTTCGTGGAGCCTCCATGTGTATGTATTTAGATAAGTTTATGTGTCGAATAATTAAATCGATTGATTATTTCATTTTAGAAAAATAGTGGCGAATAATTCCACTTTGGGTGGTGTTTGAAATGACACTCAAATCATTTATAATTGAAACTAACTTGATGTCACTTAATTTTAAAACTAATTCTATCTGTCCAATTGATAGAACTATTGAAATTTTATATGGCAATGAGCTATTTTTAATATTTTATATAAAGTTAATAAAAATGAAATTGCCATCTTAGTCTTACAAATGGCTCTACATGTGTTTGACCTTATTTTCTAATTGTTACGGCAAAATACGTACTCTTGGAGACACCATTGTCCTTTGCTATTTTAGCTTTTGTTTTTCCGTAGTGGCCAACGGTTAGATCTTTCAAGAACACAATACAATAACACTCTTATTGTTTTGTGAATAAAAAAGTATCATTAATATTTCTTTTTCCTATGAATTTTCTTTTCGATATTTCTCGGATCCTGACTCTGCATCAAAATTAGATTATTATTATAAAAATGTAGACATAAAAATCAACATTATTTTAAGTTTTAATTTAATATATTATACATAAACTTTAATTTTATACAATTATATATATTAAATTCTAATTTGATAAGAAATTATTAAAACCCTTATTAACTTAGCATTGTTTATTATAAATTGTAATAGATTTTTTAATTTATTTTTCTTGTAGTATCTTGTATTATAATATTCAAAGTTTATATTTACGAAAAACTCGTATGTGTTAAGAATGACAATTAGTTAAAAAAACGAAGTCATAAAATAAAGATATATATTGTATGAAAAAATAATATAAAAACATATAATAAATTTAAAATGCCGTAATATTAAATAAAATATACATTTAAAACTATAAGCCTTAAATACATTTATATTTAGGGTAAATTAAATGGTACATGACTATAAGATGTTATTTTGTTGAGTCACCTGACTATTAAAAGTTACAAAATGGTCTTGCGACTATAGGGAGTTACTTTGTTAGGTCCCCCAACTATTAAAAGTTATAAAATGATCACCTAACTAATTATTATGTTTCAAACTCATTATTTTTCGTTAAAAAATTAAAGACAGTCTGCGGTGGTTGTTAACTTGGTGACTGAGATATGATAAAATATGATCTCACAATCTCAAACGACTATCATATCTCAGTTACCATGTTAACGTTCAACTCAACTAACTGTTATTTTTAAATAGAAAATGAAGAGTTTGGAATATAATGAATAATCAAATGATTATCTTGTAACTTTTAATAGTCGAGTGACTCAACAAAACAATTCCCTATAATCGGGGAACCATTTTGTAACTTTCAATAAAATAATATGTTATAGTCGGGGATCATTTGTGTACTTTACCCTTATATTTATCAAATGAACTTGGATAAAATAAATCTTTAATTTATTTGTTTGTTTTTGTTTTCTACTCGATCAACATTGTTCCATAGAAACAAACGTTTGCACTGATTAGAAAAAAGAGAAACCACTAACACGTAAGGTGCAGTTGGAATAAACTTCTACTTATTATTTTTTTAAAAAGTAAATTTAGAAAATTCACAAAGCTGACTTCACCTTACCGCCTCTTCGATGCCTATTTGGACACGCTGGAGACCTCAATTTGTCCTTAAATAGTTTTAAAAAGTTTAATTTTTTAATATTATTTTATTTATAAAATTAAAACTTAAAAACATGAATCTATTTCATTACCGCTCAAAGCCATTTGATACCGCAGAACGACATCTTTCATGTCGTCTGTTGGCAATTTTCTTATTAGTTCAAATAAAAAATCCTATTCCCCTCTTCCTCAATCCACGTGTCTTTTCCCATGGATTCCCATTAATTAATTACATACTTGACCATTTCTCTCCTACGTCCCACCCCCATTTCATCCGTTACAAAGATTAAATCGAACCCCTTAAATCATCATCAGATTCCCTGCTAAAGTCACACGTCTAGGAATCAAACTTTCTATAAAAGAATAAAAAAAACCCAGCCCTTTCCGTAGCATATGAAAACCATCTCCTTTCTTCCTCCATATTACACATTATATATTCTGGGTACTAGTTATGAGTTTGCAAGTTGGTGTAGAAGACTATCAACCATGACTAGAGTCCCCAAGTCTCTTGTCTACTCTTCACTTGCAAGGAACCCTTGGCCCTTTCCTTCTTCTTCCTTGTAACCCTTTGTTTTTTTTAAAGCAGGGTTTTCAGTTTAAAGCTTTGCTATTTTTAAATATGGGCGGTGGAGAGAAGAATACAGTGAAGACCTTCCATTTACACCTACCGAATCTTCATCATCATCATAATCACCATGGGAAGAAGCAAACAAAGGATGTGCCAAAAGGGTGTTTGGCTATCAAAGTAGGGTCAACAGAAGAGGAGCAACAGAGGTTCGTGGTGCCGGTTATTTACTTCAACCACCCATTGTTCATGCAGCTGTTGAAAGAAGCCGAAGAAGAGTACGGGTTCGACCAGAAGGGTACCATCACCATTCCTTGTCACGTAGAGGAGTTTAGGAATGTTCGGGGCTTGATTGATGGGGAGAAATCCCTTCTTCATCATCATGTCGGTTGTTTTAGGGTTTCATAAAAAAAATCTTGTTATCAATAGATAAAGAAAAATGATACAACGATGACGATAAAACGTTGTTTATAATTGCATTGCCCCACGTATATATTTGTTTGGAATCATATTGGAAAAGAAGCAGCGAATGCCTCTCTCCTTTTCATTTATTTTCAATCTTTAAAGATAATATATTGAGGACAAGATCCCTTGGTAGGCTCATTGCCTTTGCTTTAATTTTGAAATTTGGAGATGTGGAAATCACTACCGGCAAATGGAATCAAGTACCACAATGAGGGAGGCCGTCCCCGTTTAGGGTCCGGACATGTCTATAAAGATTAAATACTTTATTTGTGGATCACTTTGTTGTCCAAGCCGCATTGAGCTTGAGTTAGGTGTTGGGAATTGAATGAGATGTCCAACAGTGTGAAGAATGAAAGTCAAGAACGGACGGTGGGTTCAATTAATACCCTGTTTGGGGCAATTCATTTCCTTGACAACAAGGGCTTTTATGCGTGTGTTTTTGTTTGTAGGGCACACGCAATTTACATGTCCTTAAAACATAGGAATAAACCAGCCTTTGGAGACCCTTATGGAAAATTCAACGTCTTAACCCGAACAAAGGATAGTTAGTCGTGGAGAAAACATTGTGGGTGATTCATCCCTATGCTCTATATAAATTGAGAAATTAATCCAGTTAAAAATATTATCATACCTTAGTATTAAATTATAAATATTATCATAATTAATATTTCAAACCAAAATTAACTAACGGATGGTTAAGGGCCGGCCACCGAATTAGTTTGGTCGAGGAACGATTATTTTGGTTCAAAATTGATTAATTAACCGAATTAAATGAAAATAATAAATATTAAATATATATATTAAGTTCAAATCTATTAAAAGTTAAGACCCAATTATTTTTCAACCATACTAGATCAATTAAATTATCAAGACCTAATTAAATAATTTTAACTCAAATAAAAATACCTCTATTAAATTCAAATTAATCTAACTAAAAAAATTATATAAAAAATCAGTTCAGTTAACTGTTAATGAAAAAATAGTTTGATTAATTCGATTAATGAAAATTCGGTTCGATCAATGACTGAATGAACCAAATGAACACCCCTAGTTTTAACCTTATCCTATAGAGTTGGATCGAATCGAAATATGTTGAGTTTGTCTCACATATTCATCCTTATACACAATCAAATGGAAATTGAATGTATCGATAACTAGAAGCAAACATTATAACACATACATAATTTTATATATGATAAAACTCAAATATGAAACACCGAAAATTCCAACACCTCAATCTGACCATAGTTTTTTCATCTTGCTTTGTTTTGTGGATTGTGACTGGGGAACAAATAAATATAACTTGCGAACTATTTGATCAACAATTTATTTAATCAAATAATATTAGTTCGTAATTTCGATTTAAAAAACCAACATGATGTATATTATTCAAGCTATATAGCTGACCAAATGTCACATATCGAACTAAGTCTTTATTATTATATTGACAAAGATGATGAGGAACGGATTCATGCTACAAGGCCTATGGGATTAGACTTAATGCTTAACGAACCGTTCATGATTGTGAGAAGCTAATGTCATTTTAATTCGTCCACGGCTATAGAGGTATCCAATTGGTGCACTGAGATTGGTTTGGTGCATGAACAAGACAGTTTTTAATTGCAATTGGTGCACTGGGATTGGTTCAATGCATGAACAATATAGTTTTTAATTGCAAGTTTCAACAATAGGATAATGAGTAGTTATCAATTGGGCATTTGTTTTTTAGTAGTTACAATTGGGCGTGAAAGAATAACGATTGGATCTAGAACAGTCGTATATGACCCAAAATATAAATTTGACCATGTCTATTCAAATTTAGATTTAACTCAAATCAATTTAAATTTGTTTATTGTACTGAAATCTAAAAAGAATAGGTAGAGAACATCATTAGAATTAAAACGATTGTATTAGTCGTTAAGCTTAAAAAAACATAAAATATTATTAAATTTATCAAACCACTATAACATAACTATTGTGATATCATAATAAATTTTAAAATAATTTTATAACATAGTAATAAATTTTAATAATTATTTCATAACAAAAATTGTCTAATCATCTACATTTGAATAATATCTGAACATTTGAACATTTGAATCGTTGAAATGAATATTTTGGTCACCAAAAAGGGTCGAAACCGAATAAAAAGCTTTCAGGATCGAGTAGTATCAAGCATGGAAGCTTAAATCAATTGTAGCATGCAAACAAAGAAACACCCTAGTAAAAAAAAAACATTGTTCTTTTAAATAATATTTTTACTAAGCAAAAATAATAAATAAAACACGGTGGACAAGAATATATAATTGTTTGATGGAGTTACAATATATTCCACTTATCTGCCAAAGCTTCAGTAATCCTTGCAATGCACATTGCAGCACTTAATGGATAACCAGAAACTGAAAGAAATGAGAGAAATAAAACCATATAAGACAATGAAGTAAGTCATGTCCCATTTAAGCATGATAAGAATTAAGTTGTATGCATGTAAAGTACGACTCTTGTATACATATAGTAATAAACTCGGACTTGGGATAACTGCGAGTACCAGTATGATTCAATGGTTCTTATAATTCAAAGGTTACGAATCGAAAACCTTGAAATTTCAGGAACAAAATTTAACAAACATACACATATGAATGTGGGACTTACTCGCTATAAAATCATCTGCATAGTCTGTCTCTATTTTCCCATGGGCCATTGCACCCACCTGAATAGAAAGATGCACAGAGACAGGATAAGGAGACAATTATAAATAAAGAACTTGTATGTCACACGAAACTTACCACAAAAACAAGATTCACATCATCACCAACAGCATCTACATATTTTCTCATTTTAACCAGTTTCTCCGAGCTATATGAGAAACCTGAATTTCAAGAAAAACAAATTGAATTCTGGAAACAACGGGTTTGCATAGACAAAAATACAAGAGTAAAAACAACCAAACTCAAGCCCACCTATTTTCCGAGAATTGACAAGAAAATAGTTCGTTACGGGATTCTTTATCACTCGTAAAAGTTTTTCACGATTGCCAACAGCAGTTATATTTAGTTTTTGAAGCAACTGCACTGCATGATTGTTGAAGAGGTCAATAAGAAACAGTCTGGTAAAAATTTTAAAATGCAGCAGAAGAGACATAATTTCAGCATGAGAACTTACACGTGATACCAGAGAACCGCTTGTATGTTCTCGGAATTCGAACGTGAGGTTTAACTTCAAAAAGTACACCTTTCTCGGTTCTAACATACACAGCTTGCAATCTCCCAGCCTTATTGACCGGGCTATCTAAAATAGATAGAAGAGCCTATAGGGAAACAAAACAATTGGCTGTTAGTTAAAGGAGTTAATCTAAATCATCCATCAGGTTTTAACATCGAGAATGCAGTACCAATTAAATAATAATAGTTTTAACAATATATAAGATTGAAATAAATAACAAAAAAATAGGAAAATAACCTGATGTGTTATGTCAGGCCTGTAATCAGCAGGATTCTTGTTATTTTTCAGCAAGAAATTGGCATGATCATCCGAGTTCAAGAGTTGGAAACTCTGTAACAATTTACAACCAATAAGATAAAAATACAGTTGAAAACCAAATTTCATTAAAGGACAAACAAAAAAACAATTAAAAACTACTATAAGAATAATATATACACGAACAGAAGCTCACACAAGTAAATGATAACAGATATGTTAAGCACAGCATATATATACGAAGTCTAAGTTCCATATACCTTTCCAACTTTAGCAACTTCCAGGGAAGCCTTCTCAAGAACAAAAATGACCCCATTTTTGTTGGTCCTTTTATCACTGGGGACAACTGGGATTCCCACAAGTTCATCTGTTCCGGCTTTGCCTTCTTCCTCTTCTTTACCTTCTACTTCCATTGTTGGCTTTTCAATAGAAGCTCTCTTTGCAGGTTCTTCCTCTTCTACTTCTACTTGTTCTGCACGTTCCTGTTCTTCTTTATCATATTTCTCGTCTCTATTCTTCCGTTTTTTCACTTTTATAGCATACGGTCTTACCATTTTATTGGCTCAAAATATTATTTATCCTTCAAATAAGAAGAACCAAACCAAGATAGCATTACATTAGAAGCAGCAAAGACAGTATTTTCAGGATAGGAAGAGAGGGAGTACTTTTGAGCAAGACTGACATTGAGACAAGTGAAAACCCAAATAGCGAGAAGCCCGAGCTCAATTAAAAATTCACTACTCAAAATTCAGTTTAAGCTCGATCAAGTAAATTTTTAAGCTTGAGCTCAGCTCGAGAAAAAATAAATTTCAATTAAGCTCGTTTACTCATTTTCCATACTCAAACTCCAGTTTGAGCTGGAATTAAGCTTTTGCATATACAATTTTTTCATTATAGTTAAATTTTCATACAAATTTATTCGATTCTAATATACACAATTAGCAGCCGCTTTGTATATATATTATCAGCTCAGCTCAAGCGCTGGTTTGAACGGTGAGGTTGCCTGAATGACTAGTTGCACGATATAGATGAGAAATCATATTTGCCATTGACGATCCATTAAAGACTATATATCCCCTATTTGTTTCTTCAGAAGGACAAGACAATTCTAGGGCCAATATAAAGGAAATCAATGTTAGCATTACAGAGTTTATGCAACAAAGTTTAGGGACATTCCAAGTGTAATCAAATTTCGTAAAACAATGATGAATTTTCAATTAGGAAAGTTTACAGCTTACGTTCGATAGTTGAACAAAACTTACAGTTACAGTTGGCGGAGCAAGGAAAGCGGGGAGCTGACGATTGAGGGCGGAGCAAGGGCAGCTGTTTAGGTTTTTGTTTTCTTCTTTCAATTTCTTTTATAGTTTCTAATGAATTATTAAATTTTGGATTGGGCTGAAACTGTATTTGGGTTGGGATTCTACGTATAATGGGTATATATATATATATTTGTTTGAGAGTCCATATTTATTTATTCGTCAATTAATTTAATTAAATATTATAAATATTTATTTTTAATGATTAATTTAATTTAATTCAATATATTTTATTTATAATATTAAAACCAAAAAACAACTAATAGTGTCTCATCAAAAATTCATTAATTAGTTAAGTGGTTAAAGATGTTCCTATTATCCTACTTTATATGGATTCCAATCCTAATATTTATCTTGAAAAAAATAATACCTTTTAATTTAATCAAAAGAATAATACCTTGCTTATAATTATTTATTATGTATATATTCTTTCGTACAAATAGAACACACACACACATATATATATATATATGAAAATTGTGAATATGTGGATCTCAAACATCGCTCTTGAGGGAAGAACTGCATCCGCTTTGATCATCATAATACTTGGACCAAAGCATAATGCCACCGTACTTGGAGGAATTCTTTATGGCAGGGAGAACCTTGGATATGAGATCATTGACAGGGATGAAACCGCTGTCGGCTGCATCCGAAGATGCTGGTAGGCCGAGGAAAATCTTTGTCGCCGGGATATCCGAAGTCCATTGTTTCCATGCATCTTCGAGGTTGGCAATATCGGCGGGTGGTTGTTGAATTGGACCCAAGCATAATCAAATAAACCCGTTTTGAGTGCATTTCCAACCAAAGCATCAGGGAATGGGCATTGAGGAGCTGCAGTTAAGTATACTTTCTTGCCTTTCTTGCTATACCCCGAGAGGTACATTGCGAGATCGTCCCAATGTTCGTCCGTTCCTCCCTCAATATCGAAGTCGATTCCATCGAGAACGGCAGGTCCGAGAGGTCGAGAAGATGACGTTCCCCCAATAAATTATTCCAGATATACGTCGACTTGTCTAGCGTCATCAGAGGAAGCGAGGGAGTAACTACCAGCGCCTCCACCCAAAGAAAGAATCACTTTAACACCTTTGGCTTGACACGATTTAATGTCGGAGCTCAACCCAGTGCAGCCGTTGCTATATGGATCACAATGACCGGCAAGGTTCATCATGGGAGTTCGGCCATTACCAAATGTTGCCAAGAAGGCTATATTTAAATATTCGTACTCCCCGTCCCACAAGTCTCCGCGAGGGTCCCTTCGTTGCCGTTTTGACCCCAGTAGATAGAAATCCCACCACCATTTGAACCAGTTGCTAGCACCAAAACCATCAAGCAGATGAACGAAATTGATATTTTAAGCTTGAAAGCCATGTTCTTAGGTTACTTTATTACACGACCGAGTTGTTTCTGTGTTGGAACTATGGTGGTGAAGCTCCACATTTATAGCAGAATATTGGCGCTTGTCGTTTGACAATTATTTTGAAGTCTCGCAGCCGAGAACGTAGCTTTTTGGGCACTTCATTTCAGTGAGGCAAGCAACACGCCAACTTAAGGGCAATGCCTGAAACATGTTTTGTTGAACACTATATTTTCCTATGGCATTCACCATATAGCTCCATGTCCAGTAACTTGCTGCTGGGGCAACTGCAACATTCAAGCAAACTTAATGGACAAACAGCAAAATAACTGATAAAACCAACCGATATTAAACTGATTTGGTTGAACCAATTGTATCTAAATTGATCAATCAGTTCAGTTTATGCTAGAACAATCGATCAAACCAACCAAACCGAATATTGACCTTCACCTTCCGTATGACATATAGCCCTAATTAATCATTTGCTTCTTGTATCATTCAAGCACACCTGTCACTGACCTGAATAAATCTTGGACCACAAGAAATTAGGGTCCTGACAAAATACATAAGAAAAAATATTTATTATTCATGTTTAAAAAGAAATTACAAAGTGGAAGAGGACCGACCCACAGCCATTCTGGTGACGCTCCAACTGCTCTCTACTAAAGGTTTGACCTGTTTGCTCCTCGCTCTCTCTGATCTCCGCCCTGATTTATCGTGTTATTAAGGATTAAATGGATATATTTAATCTACTAAATCTTATTTTACTACTTTGATATTTGAAGTATTTTTATTTACTTTATTCTTTTAATATTTTTAGTAATGATTCTATCATTTTTAATTCATTTTTATAAAAATAACATAACACAATGAAAATCTATCCAATATATATTAAATTTGAAAACTTTACAAAAATTATAAAATAAAATAAAATGATTTTTTATATTAAAATGTGACCTGTGAATTATTAATATAAGCCTAAACTAAATCATAATACAGATAAATTTATATAAATTAATTTTTTACCTAATTTAAATATATAGGCGATTTCCTTTATTTATATAATTGTATAGAAATATAAAATTAGTTTAATTTTATATTATTCTTATATATGACACGGTTACGCGAAAAATGGGGGGAAAGACTCGTTTATCTCCTTTTTCTTGCATCTCTTACTATTTCAGTCCACACGTTTTTCTTTTCCCAGCAGCCATGGAAGAGAAAATAATCTCTTCATCCTCCTCCTCATCACTACTTTCATTTTCCCAGGAAACTCCATCTTCAACCCTAAAGCAGAAGCTTCAATTCCTTGTCAAAAGCCAGCAAGACTCGTGGGCATACGCTATACTTTGGCGGACTTCAAACGACGACCAAGGTCGTTTGTTCTTGACTTGGGAAGATGGTCATTTTCAAGGAACCAAAGACTCATCTCCAAAACCATCGGCGCCCACCAAAGTTTCCGATGTTCAAGCCTTACATAATGAACGAAGAAAGGACATGAAAGGACTCCAAGGCCTCATCGGAGACAACCACGACATCGACTTATCGTTGATCGACGACACAGATATCACCCATGCCGAATGGTACTATGTGATGTCTCTCAGTCGATCTTTTTCGGCCGGCGATGGGGTTCTCGGCAAGGCTCTTAGCACTGGCTCTTTGGTTTGGTTAACCGGTGCTATTGAGCTGCAATTTAATGATTGTGAACGAGCTCGAGAAGCACAGTTGCATGGCATCGAAACTCTTGTTTGTATACCGACTTCTTCTGGTGTTCTCGAGCTTGGATCCTCAGAAATTATCAATGAAAATTGGGGACTAGTCCAGCAAGTGAAATCCCTGTTCGGGTCCGATCAAAATCCGAATCCGAATTCAAATTTAACCCCGAGTTCTATCTCAGAGCATTCAGATTCCGACTGCCCATTACGTGCCAATAATAAAACAGATACAGAGAAGATAACTCCGAATAAACGTGGAAGAAAACCGATTCTCGGACGAAAGAAACCGTTGAACCAAGTGGAAGCCGAGAGGCAACGCCGTGAGAAGCTGAACAGTAGGTTTTACGCGCTCCGAGCTGTAGTCCCGAACGTCTCACGCATGGACAAAGCATCTCTCTTGTCAGATGCCGTCTCGTACATCGGCGAACTAAAGTCGAAAATCGAGCACTTGGAATCACGGCTTCATAAGAACAACAAGAAAGTAAAGGTAGAAATGTTTTATTCCATGGCTAACCAAAGCACCACCTCATTAGCGGAACAAGCTAGGCCGAGGAATTCATCAGCCGTCGCAACAGCTGGGTGGCGTGACCTACAAGTCGATATCAAGATCATGGGAAACGGTGATGCGATGATTAGGGTTCAATCGGAGAATGTGAACTACCCAGCTGCTAGGTTAATGGGTGCACTTCGTGACTTGGAGTTTCAGGTCCATCATGCAAGCTTGTCGTGTGTTAACGAGCTCATGCTCCAGGATATTATCGTCCAGATCCCCCATGGATTGAGAACTCAAGAGTCACTCAAAGCTGCTATTCTGCGGACACTAGGGCATTAAGGTCATTTATTAAGTGTGTAATAATATCAGTTTTTAATGTTTTTTCCTCTAATTATCTGGTTCATTCTGTATTTGATCTGCTTCAAGTGAATTCTTCTAATTCAGTGTTCGATATAGACAAACTTGTCTCGTTTATAAAGGAGACTCGTCTTTACTTTTTTTTTTAACGAACCTTGCTCCTTTAATTTTCCTTACCGGAAAAATAAATATTACTAAAACAATCTGTGTCCCCATCCTAACCAACGATTTAAAGATGAGTCTCTTTCTTCAGCAACAATTTTAAAATTTTCCACACTAGAACAAAAACAAGAAAAACGTGATACTGCTACATTTTTTATGGCCGTGTACATCCTATATGTTTTATTTTTCTTTAATTATTATTATTATTATGACAGTAATGAAGTAGTGAAAGCCCTATCAGATTAGGTACCAGTAACACTAGTGGCTTAAAGTTAGCACGTACCGCGCGTCAGAGAAATAAGTTAAATAAATAAGGGTAAAGTATAGTAATGGTCACTGAACATTTCTGAAGCTTGCATTTAGGTCCCCTAACTTTTAAAACTTGCAATACAATCCCCCAACATTTATTCCATTTGCAATATGGTCCCTCAACTTAAACCACTGTTACAAAATTAGGTTAACGGTCATTGAACTTTTCGGGCACTTGAATTTAGGTCTCCCAACTTTTAAAACTTGTAAAATAGTCCTCAATTTCATTCTAAACCCCAATTTCCAAAGTAATTCAATTTCATTCTAAACCCTAAATTCCAAAATATTTCAATTAAATTTTAAACCCCAAATTCTAAAATACTTCAATTTAAGGTTTAGAATGTAATTGAATTATTTTGGAATTTAGGGTTTAGAATGAAATTAAGGTGTTTTGAAATTTTGAACATGAATTTACTATTTGACAATATTTATTTCAATATAAATTTGAGGTTTGTTTAACTATTTATATCAATTTTGAATAACAATATGCATTGATTAAACATCCCGAATAGCAAAATGGAAGCACTCTATTCGGTATTTCAACTTCCCATAAACTCTGCTCATTTCTTCAACTTTTGACTATATGAAATTCGGAACACTCATTTGGAGCATTATGATTTAAGTACCACTATGTTCTTGCATGCTATTTTTTTATCAGATTTGAGTACCTAACCCTTCAGTGCTTTACAGTGCAATCATTTATGATTCACCTGAATTTGCTCATACAGTGATCATTTATGATTTAGTAGAATCAATGGTTTAGAAGGAAATTGAATTACTTTGGAAATTGGAGTTTATAATGAAATTAAGGACTGTTTTACAAGTTTTAAAAGTTGAGAGACCTAAATTCAAGTGTCTGAAAAGTTTAATGACCGATTATATAATTTACCCTAATTTCTAACAGTGGTTTAAGTTGGGGGACCATATTGCAAATGGAATAAATGTTAGGGGACTGTATTGCAAGTTTTAAAAGTTGGGGGACTTAAATGAAAGCTTCAGAAATGTTCAGTGACCATTACTATACTTTACCCAATAAATAAATGTGTAAATTAGTACGAAGTGATTGCTTTAAATAAATAAACGTGTAAATTAGCACGTACCAGTTTTTAATGTCAAAGAGAACACAACAAGAATCAGGTCATGGATCGCTTTACGGACTTGGAAAATCAGCCCGTTTAAAGACGTGTTCTCCTTGCTCTGTAGCCTTGGAGGCCATAGAAGAACAATAGAAACGTAAACAAACACCTTCAGTAAAGGCAATTCTTTCAGGGCTTCAATGAAAATCACATATTCTATGGATAATTACTGACACTCGTTTCCCGTACGATGAAATATCTGTCGCTTAGGACTTATTTTATTCATTTTACTTCAAGGTGCATGAACACATATTTTGGTCACGTTCTACGTACTTTTTGCAAAAGGCTTTACAATTTCGACGTGAAAATAATTGGCATTTTGTTATGATGTGGGCCACTTGATAACTCGTGACGCAAACAAAGAAACATTGAATATAGTAGTACTATTAATATTTTATAATATATTAATTAAATAATACTAATACATTATTATAAAAACATATTAATTATAAAATAAGTTATTATATGAATAATAAAATGTAAGAATATATTGTTAGTAATGCTCTGAATTTTTATGTCATTTATCCTACATTTGGAAGGAAATTACCTTTGAAAAGGTTTATGTATGAAAACTCATTCCTTTGTTTGTTGAATGTGGTATGACAAGTTCTTCGCACGCGTATACAGTTATCGTTGCCAGTTTACTTTTAAAATAGTAGTTCGCCATGACACAATTTACTGTTCATTCATTTCTGTTATTTTTATTTAATTATCCAGTCGGTTTTAACATCTCAATTTTGTATTCATTATTTTCGACATATATTTATCAACTATATTATATATTATTAATTCAAGTTAATGGTTAGTTATTAAATTTTCATGCTATCACTACTTTTATATTTTTTCATATTCTTTATGATACATTAGATGAGATTCATTTAATAAAAATAAATAATATAAATTTAATTAATAAAATATTTATATTGATGTGACATGTCTATACTTCAAACATATAATATATATTATTTTATTATATTAAACACGTTATATATATCACTTCATCACTTTGGACACGTGTTACATAACATGTCATTATTTATATATACACAATAATGGCATATCATTACTTTGTGACATGTGTTAAATGTTATGTCATCATTTATACATATATTATATGTGACATAAAATAAAATAGTAAAAAGCTAAAATTTATAAAATAAATATGAATTAAAGTTACTAGGCAATTAAATGTTGGATATGAATTTAAACATTGCGCTTTTTAAATTAAACTAAAATTGTAAACTTTATTTTTATCCGGACCCATAACAAACTCAAGGTCAAAACTAAAATTCAAAACTAATTTTTGACATTAGATGGTAATGCAATTATCTCTTAAATATTACATATTTAAGGATTATTATAATAATACTTTCTTTATATTTTGGTAAACTACGGAGTTGATCATTTTTATTTTATTCTTTTAATGTACAGTCCCTCGACTTGAAAAAGTTAATCTGTAGTTATTTTTATTTTGTTTTAATTAAGATATGGTCACTGAAATGTTAATTTTCGTTAGTTTGATGACGTGATATGTTAATAAAAGGGATTAATTTTTATTTTAACCCTTGAACTTTAGATAAAATACTAATAATAGACCTTTTTGTAAACCCAAAATAATTTAGGGATAAAAATTTAATTTTTGCTTTCTCTTTCAAATCAGCTTCTCCTATGGCATCTTCGTTATCCACTTTCCATATCTCAACTCTTCATTTCCCCCTCGAAACATGGACAATGGCAAGCTTTCCAGTTCTCTTTGTCCTTCACCCATCAACTTCTCCCCGCTCATCTCTTCAACTCCAAGCTGCTGCCCCCACGTCGTCTTGGCTACGAACCTGGTGCACGATCCTAGGTTTCGTTGAAGAATCCTCGAAAGCCAAGGACAGCCCACCCACGTGCCGTTCGCCTTGTGGAATTCGACGGCGATAACTCCCCCTCACGTCCAAATTCCCATTACTCTCAGCTTCAGCGCGTGGGCTCCATGGCGTCGAGAAGTATTGACAGTGCCGTCGTCGTCTCGATCTTCGACGTTATCAACTATCGACCAAACATCATCTTCACCAAGTTCCGCGTCGTCAACGGTAGTGTCCCCTTGGCCGTGTCCATAGCTAAAGTTTCCGAGAAACCGCTAGCTTCTGCTGGTGGTCAACCGCCGGCCTTTCGCCATCAAACAACCAAATACCATTCAATATCAAAAACCAAAATATCAAATATCGAGAAAAGGAATTGAAAACGGAAATTAAATAAGGTAAGAAAAAAAAGAAAATTAAAAATATAATCTAAGAGGGTGGGGTAATTTGAAAGGGAGTCCATTAGAGAAAAGACTCAAAACATTTTTTTTTCATTTTCCGTTGGTAGAGAAGATGGAGGTTTGCGGCGCAAGAAGATGGGGTCAGAGAAGAAAACATATTAAAAAAAGGAGTAAATTAAATTTTTGTCCTTAAAATATTTTGGGTTTATAAAGAGGTCCATTATAGTATTTTATTTAAAGTTTAGGGGTCAAAGTAAAATTAGACCCTTTTACTAATTTGTCATGTCATCAAACTAGCCGAAGTTAACGTTTCAGTGATCGCATCTTAATTAAAACAAAATAAAAGTAACTACAAATTAACTTTTTTTAATTGAGTGACATACGTTTAAAAAAATGAAACAAAAGTGAACAATTATATAGTTTACCCTTATATCTTTTCTTATTTTATTTTATTTATCAAATAAATATGAGAATTGTATATATATATATTTATCGATTCGAGTGCCTTTTTTCACTATAAAATATAGATAAATTCAAATCGATTGAAGTCCTTTTAAATTATGATGAGATGGATGACCGATGAAATATATAAAATTTAATTAAGTCCTAGATGTACGTATCTACCTTCCGGTCCTAAAGAAATCAGGTGGAGATAGGATTTGGGCCTTTGATCATCCTGCAAGAAGAGATGAATTATGCAATTATGAGAGAGAACGTGGGTTTTGGCCTAAATCAATTACACCGCAACAAAGGATCGTGTCCTGCCTGTATCAAATGACATATGGTTATGATTTTTCTAATATTGTCTTTTTTATTAATATGCACGAATATAAAATAATATTTGCTTAAAAAAATTTAATCAGTTAATATTATATTTTCATACATTCCGTGTGGTACTCGAACTTAAAACTTTAATAACATTTTTTAACTATTGAAATCACTCGATTTATGCACATTTAAATATACTTAAATATATTTAATTTAAATAAATTCATTAATCTCCATATAAATATCTCATTGTTCAACTTGATTCTATCACATTTTAAATTAAAATTGATCGTTCAAAGCAAATATAGTAGTTGTAAGAAATTAAATGGACAAGGTCAGAGGGAGAATTTGGTCAATTCACGGCAGCCACGGAAGGAACAGATTATTTCCGAATCCACGTCATCATATTCCGGGCTCCACTCATTTCCATCTACCAATATTAATGGCTTCATACGTATGACATAATTCGTATTGAAATCCTTCACTCTTATCCCTCCCTGACCGTTGCCACCCTCCATTCCTTCCCGCCACGCCAACAAAAAGCCATATTCCGTTGTTTCTGCTACGGAGGTTGAAGGTGGAAAATTGAGCACGAAAAAGAATAGTAATGATACGACGACGGTGAATGTTCGGACGACGAGGACACGCGTAGGAAGTACGAACCGGGAAGGAATTTGAGCGAGGGGAGTTTTGCCAAGGTTAAATTCGCTAAGAATGTCGAGACCGGCGAGTGTCTCGCCATTAAAATCCTCGACCGTGATCAAGTCCTCCGTCACCGGATTGTCGAACAGGTAAACAAGAATCCCATTGCTGAAATTCAATCATTTTCTTTTGGATTAAGGGTGATTTTGTTTGGGGCAGATAAAGAGAGAAATATCAACAATGAAGCTTATAAAGCATCCCAATGTAGTTAAAATCTATGAGGTACGTAAACAAATTAATCCCTGGAATTATGATGTAAGGTTGATTAATCCCGTTTAGGGTTATGGCAAGCAAGACAAAGATTTATATCGTGATCGAGTACGTTGGTGGAGGCGAGCTTTTCGACAAAATTGTAAGCGGTTGTCATTAAGTTATAAACGCTCATGGAGTTTATTGTTTATGATACCAAAAATCTTTGATATTTTTTAGGCCATGCGAGGGAGACTCAAAGAGGATGAAGCCAGGAGCTATTTCCAGCAGCTTATTAATGCTGTTGATTTCTGCCAGGGTACAGGCGTTTTCCATAGAGATTTGAAGGTTCAACTCTCCCTTTGATGTAACTGATTCATTAGATGAGTGTGTTTCAAAGCTTTTGATTTTAGAAATTGGAGCTTGGTTCGTTCTAGCTTCTAATTCCATATGTAATTGTCCATTTTTGCAGCCTGAGAACTTTCTTCAGGATTCCAATGGTGTTCTTAAAATATCGAATTTTGGATTGAGTGCTTTTTCAAAGCAAGTTCGGGTAAGCATATAGTGTAACCATAAAATCCTACTTTTGTTCCTGCTTATAACAATATTCTTCCCAATGTAGGAGGATGGGTTGCTTCTCACGGCTTGTGGGACTCCGAATTATGTTGCTCCAGAGGAATGTATATACCATGACTTCATAAAGATAGTGAGCCACAATACTGCGGTTTCTTCGTCATTCGTGTCCGATATTTCCTTATCAGGTGCTTAAAAATCAAGGTTACGACGGTCGAGCATCGGATATTTGGTCTTGTGGAGTTATTCTCTTTGTACTTATGGCTGGTTATTTGCCCTTTGATGAACCAAACCTTATATGCTTGTATAAGAAAGTAAGTAACCTCCATATCCGCCTTCTCTTTTTCATGCGAAGTTGCTTATGACTTTTGGTACATCTTGATAAAATTTTCAGATCACAAAGGCCGATTTCACTTGTCCTTCATATTTGACGACTAGTGCAACTTATTCTTGATCCAAACCCTCTTACGGTAACCCTTCATGCTTTGCATTTTATGATCATCTGCTGTCTTTGAAGCCTCTTTACTGTGTATGATACATGCATTGTGTTGAAATTTGCGTGTTAATTGTGCCAGCGTATAACTGTTCCTGAAATTCTAGAAGATGAATGGTTCAAGAAAGGGTACAAACCGCCCCAATTCGAGCAGGAAGAGGATATAAATCTCGATGACATCGACAACGCCTTTAATGACTCAACGGTAGTTCATTTCATACTCTATCTGTTCTGTTTCTCTGCCTAAACAGAGTGACTACAGAAGCATATACAAGCGCTTTACAACGTGGTCTGATAGACTGTTATCTGTTGTCCCAAAACCAAGTACTTGATTAATGTTATTCCGTTTTCCAGGAAAATCTTGTAACAGAAAGGAAAGTGAGACCTGTTTCGATGAATGCTTTCGAGCTCATCTCCAGGTCGCAAAGCTTTAGTCTAGACAATTTGTTTGAGATGGTATGCAATTAAAATCCCTCTAGTTTTCACTATACTGAATGTTGAATGCAATGTGTTTAGACTGGATCCCCACTTTCCATCTTAGCTGAGTGTATCCCTTTTTGTTTGTTGATCCGAATTGGAATGGCAGCGTCCTGCGAAGCGAGAAACCAGTTTTGCTTCCCAATGTCCTCCGAACGAAATCATCTCCAAAATTGAGGAAGCTGCAAAGCCTCTAGGTTTCAATGTTGACAAGCGAAACTATAAGGTTCGATTCATCTTCATCTACGTTGCAACTGCTGTTTGTATGCCTACAACTTCTGTTTCATGTCTCATGTACTTGTATAATTCACATTGCCATAGATGAAGTTGAAAGGTGACAAAAGAGGGAGAAAGGGACAACTATCCATAGCTACCGAGGTAACACAATACTCCCTGTTTACAATGCACATCTTATTCGATATCGGAGAAAAACAACACGATAATTCATCGCTCTTTGATCTCAGGTGTTCGAATCCAGGTTGCTCCCTGCTTACATGTGGTGGAGTTCCGGAAAACCGGCGGAGACACATTGGAGTTTCACAAGGTACACACTTGAATTTTAATCTGTTTTTGTTTTAACTCTAATTTGTCGAATGTCGATCAAATCTAACCTTGCAATAACTGTGTGATACCCCATTTTAGCTGTGGTTTTTTTAACATGACAGTTCTACAAAAACTTTTCATCTGGATTGAATGATATAATCTGGAAAACTGATGGAATTCCTGAAGAAAAAGAGAAGTGCGTGGGCATTAAATGCATTTAATTCCAATTTCATTTAGTTTATTTCATGTCAAAATAAAGTTTCTCGACTGTTATTTGATTGTGCAGGTCATAAGAAGGCGGCATGCGACCGTTTGTTCTAGCTTAGCCACCGTTAATTAACGATGTACACTTATTTTTTTTCCTTCCGTTGATTATTTTTTTAAAAATTATTATATATAGTTGCACATTTGTATAATTACGTTAGAATAATTAAATGTAATATATAAAAGAAATTATAAATAATATTAATATTTTTATATAATTTTCTCTGTTCAGTTGTTTTGGCAGTTTTAGGATTTTTCTTTCATTACCCAAAGGACAATTACAAATTAACAAGAAAAATCAACACTCTATTAATTTAGGGATTAAATGTTTGATTTTTTTAAGTAAGATTAAGAATTTAAATTTAAAATAAATTAAATTGAGAGGATTATTCATATTATAATTTTTATAATATTTAATATAAACTAATAATAGTAAATCAATTATTATTTTTTAAAATAACTGCATCAATTGTTCATTATTAAGAAATATAAACAAATTTGGGTTACAATATATATTTTCCTTTAAAAATATCCTTCTTTGTATATCCATGATTAATGTCACATGCAAAGATGATGTGGTCCACTAAGTACCTAACACGTGATGGCATTAGGAAATGGTCATTTGAAAAAGAAAAAGAAAACTCTTTTAGAGAAATTGAAAAAATAGGAGTAATATTTTAAAAAATAATTTTACAAAGCATCAAATTATATATATATATATATATATATATTAAAAAAAAAATTAAGAATCGTTATTTTAAATATTTCCTATTTTTTGACTAATTTTTATATATTTAACAAAATAATTATTTTATCGCACTTTATCATAACATTTTATGACAGTTTTTTTAGCTGTTCGCATCATCCTAATAGATGGCTTAAATAGAAATAAAGGTTTACCATTTCAAAGAATAAATCAATAAAAAAAATTATTCAAACATCAAAATGAGGAAAACAAACAACTTTATAACTAAATTTAAATAAAAAACATATATATTAATTCCAATTGAATTGGGTAAAGCCAGTTTAGATTAATAAATCCAAATTGAATTGCGTAAAGCCCGTTTAGATTGAATTAGATTGGGTAAAGCAAGTTTAAATTTTGATTTTAATTTTATTGAATTGAATGATAAGAAAAACAATATTTTGAAGTAGAAATTTAGAATTAATTAAGTAGAACCTAAGACCGGTAGGGTAGGCCGGAAAGTACAGTGTTTGGGGAATTTGGAGAGTTAGCGGCAACCTTGTTTGACCAATGTAGCTTAGCCTGTATTTATTATTCTCTATTGCAAGTCACCTAAACTCCACCGGCCGATTTCCACGCGTCTCTCTCTTTTGACCTTTTAATTTACGCTTTCCTCCGTTGCTGAGCTTTGAAACACAACCCAGTTTTGTTGGCAATATCCAAAGGATAGCAAAGCACTCTTCCAGCTTCCTTGAAAGCAACCTCCTAATCTCACATGGCGGCACAGTCATCAATTAGCATCCCAACTCCCACACCTCTAAAATATACCAGCATTTTCCCCAGTTTTTCAACATTTTGTCTCAAAAACGAAAATGTTTTAATTATTATTAATATTACTGTTGCTAAATTACTAATCCCGTAACACATATATTCTTAAGCTGGTTGAGCTATCTATCCTTTTCTTGGACCTCTACCCACCATTAATTCAACACTCTGTTTCCGTCCAACTTTCCTTTTTTTGTAGTTATTGTTGTATTTAATTCCTACTGGTCTAGCTTCCCTCTCCCTCAGGCTTCAAAAGCAAGATTTTCCCTTTTTTTTAGGTGATTTTAGTTCATCTTCTTTAATTAAACACAAGCAAACAGTCATTTTTCCTTCAGAGCCACTCAAACTATGGATAGGGATAGTATAGAGATGGACAAAGAACGTCTGACGGCGGAAATGGCGTTCAAAGACTCGTCCTCCGCTGTCATCAGGATCCGTAAAAGGTTGCCTGATTTCTTGCAATCTGTGAAGCTTAAATACGTTAAATTGGGTTACGGTTATTCATGTAACCCGGTCACCGTTCTCATATTTGCTCTTATCCTACCTTTGTTCATTATCGCTTTAGTTCAGTTCACCGGTCTGAAACCGGACAGAGTTTCCCAGTTATGGACCAACCAAGCCCTTAGGCTTGAGAGCATTGATGCTGCTACGAGACTATCTGGTTTGTTAATCTTATTCTTCCTCTTCGGTCTCTACTATGCAAAGCGATCCAGGCCGGTTTATCTCCTCGACTTTGCTTGCTACAAGCCTGAAGATGATCGTAAAATGTCGGTCGACTCGTTCTTGAATATGACTGAAGAGAGCGGCGCTTTCATGGAGGACACGCTTCAGTTTCAGAGAAGGATATCGACTCGGTCCGGACTAGGCGACGAGACGTATTTCCCGAGAGGGATAACGTCTAAGCCACCGAATCTGTGCATGGAAGAGGCTCGAGCTGAAGCTGAAGCTGTCATGTTCGGATCAGTCGACCAACTTTTCTCGAAAACCGGAGTTAACCCGAGGGATATCGGCATTCTTATTGTGAATTGCAGCTTGTTTAATCCGACACCGTCGCTCTCGGCCATGATTGTCAACCATTACAAGCTACGTACAGATATCAACAGCTACAACCTCGGGGGAATGGGTTGCAGTGCCGGCCTTATATCGATCGATCTCGCAAAACACCTCCTTCAATCCAACCCAAACACGTATGCCTTAGTGGTGAGCACCGAAAACATTACTCTCAATTGGTATTTTGGGAATGAAAGATCCATGTTGCTATGCAATTGCATATTCCGCATGGGTGGAGTCGCGGTCCTGTTGTCGAACAAGCCACGAGATAAGGCTTGTTCCAAGTACCAGCTTGTTCATGTGGTTCGAACCCATAAAGGAGCCGACGACAGACATTACAACTGCGTGTACCAAAGAGAGGACGACAAAGGAAAGATCGGAGTTTCATTGGCTCGTGAGTTGATGGCCGTGGCCGGTGACGCTTTGAAAACCAATATCACCACGTTGGGTCCCCTCGTTTTACCATTCACGGAGCAGTTCATGTTCTTCATCACGCTCGTCCGGAGGAAGCTTTTGAAAGCCAAAGTGAGTCCTTATATACCCGATTTCAAGCTCGCTTTCGAGCATTTCTGTATCCACGCCGGCGGAAGGGCGGTGCTGGATGAATTACAGAAGAACTTGCAGTTATCGGATTGGCACATGGAACCCTCGAGAATGACTCTACATAGATTCGGAAACACTTCGAGTAGCTCATTATGGTATGAATTGGCTTACACGGAGGCCAAGGGACGGGTATCGGGCGGTGACCGGGTGTGGCAGATTGCATTCGGGTCGGGTTTCAAGTGTAACAGTGCTGTTTGGAGAGCTCTTAGGTCCACTCCCGTGAATGAGTCAAGAGGAAATCCTTGGAAGAATGAAATTGATAAATATCCGGTCAAAATATCTCTCGCTTGAGAATGCTGACCTGGCCCGGATCTGTAGGCTGTTTGCCATAGGCGGTGGGGTTCCTACACATCTATATTATTAATTGAATTTTTTTTAATTTTCTTCACTTTTAATAAAAACTATTTTCTGGTAAATTAGGCACATCAAACATGGATAATTTTATTCACATCATTCTTGGGATTAAATTTGGAGTGATATTTTATACAATATAATTCTATCAATTGCTAATAAACCAAATTTTTATTTTTTCTAAATTTTTTTTTTATTTTTCACTTCTTTTTACTTTTTAATCATCAAATTTTTAATATTTTATAAAGTTAAATCATCTCAAAAAATCTAACCCCAAAATCACTTGAACTTAAACCTAAAAATACCAAACTCAAACCTACCCAAATTGAGATCCACTTGCCACCTCTAATTAAACGTGTCTATTAGGCACATAAAATATTCTCCCATCAATAATATAATATCAAATAAAAATATGATAAATTGTATTAAATTTTAGAGTTTGAATTATTTATTTCATTGATTTTTATATTAAATTATAGTACCTGATTTTCATTTAATTGTAATGTAAGTATTTAGCTATCAAAATTTAAACGATGCGGCAGTACAGATAGATATTTTTATCACAATGATAAATAAATCAAAACAATATCATTTTGGAGAATTATATAAAACTTATTTTATGTTTTTCTTTTTATTTTCTCACATTTTTTAAGCTAATCACGAATTTGATCAAGCTTTCATTCGTCGATGTTAGTCTCATCTTTGGTGGTCGAAATTTTATAAAATATATCTTTCAATTTATTTTCTTTTTCTAAACCCAAATACAAGCTCAATTTTTCTTAAATCTAAATATTTGATATTTCATCATCGAATTGTCTTGATTTTCAACTATATTGTTTCTATTGTTCTATCGTGTCTCGTCACTATTTTGATTCTTAAGATGATATTCCGGTTACAAAAAATAATAATTTACCGGAGAAGATGAGACCTTTTATTTTATTTTATTTTGTTTTGGTTTAATTTTTTTAACATTTTTTATAGATTAGGAGTTAAGGTTATTATGCTTTTCTAATTGATATTTTAGTTATTTTTTATGTAAAAAACAAATTTTTTTATATTTTTAATATTTAAGATAATAATTTTTCAGTAATGAATTTGTTTGCTTGCTGGTGATACTATTAATGTGATCATTGATTTTTGGACGTTAAAAATTCTCAAATCTCAGGGATTGAATGGGATTTGGTAAAAAAAATTACACTTTACTTGTTATTGCTATTGCCTTGTATGCATTTAAGAAAGTTAATATTGCATCATTAATTAGCTGCTATGCGTATGGCATACAGGAGAAGGGTCGAAGTTTGGTGAATACAATGTTCCTGCAACAGCCGAGGGATTTACAGTAATCTTCGACACAGTTTGATTCTAATGCCATGTTGGTGATACTAATATTAAATAAGTACAAAACAAGCTATACAGTGCGAAAAGATGAACAAAACGGAAAGCTAATATTATAAGAGAGGATTACACTCTGGATGTTCCAAGCTTTCGTTTAAACATGCGTTTCAAAAGGAAAACTTGAAGGACGCTTGCCGCTATAAGTGCAGCTGATTCGAACATTGCCTTGTGAAGTGCTCGTCGCTCCAAGTTATCATTCACTGCACGCAGCCCCATGTCCAAAAATGAAGAATTCGGGAGATTAAAACATTAAAAAGCTAATACCTATTGCCTGTCGATCGGTCTGAGACTCGATCCAATGCTGTTCGAATTGGATGTTGTAAAGAGCTTCCTCCAACCTTGATATCTGATCCATCAAAGGATCGATATGCTCTGCAAACATCATTTACAAATATAATCCAAAGTGAAAACAAAAGGGAAAAACAAATAACTGTAACTCACATTCTTTTGCATGCTGATGACTGTACGTAAAATGCCCGACTTGTATATCAAAATCAATGGTTTCGTGGTAAGGAGAGTTGTTAGTAAAGCAGGACTTGTAAGCCCCTTGCTCGTGGACAACAAACTCGTGCTTGTCACTTATTTTGTTTTGAAAATCATGAATCTGGTCTCCTAATGGTCCCTTTATCTGTGCTCATCTCACCACCCTTTAATCAAATGTTGGGGTAATTGTGAAGATAATTATTTAGCTGACAATATTTTTTTTTAGTTTCCACTATAAGAATTTAAAAAGTATATTACGTGTACTTAATTGACATATTCTATAAGCGGAGTTTTCTGACTCTTCAAACAAAGGTTAAAAGTTATCATATGTCCTTGTACAATATTAACAAGTAAAAATATAATTAATCCCTATCTACAGAGTTCAACCGACCATAATTAATTATTTTCGAAAAAATGAACCTTAATTACTCATCATAACTTTATTTTGCGTAATTCATCGAGTGATTTCAACAATTAAAAAGAGTATTCTAAAAGCCATAATCCCCTTACATGATAAAACTTTTAGTTTAACCCTTTAAACTATAAAAAGATAATGCTAAAATTATATTTTATCTCGCCTTAAATGATAGAATTACGGGGTTACTTTTATAGTATCACACAATTAAATGAGACACTCAATTTAGTTATCACATCTTGCCTCGCTTATAGCTTCAATTTCAACCAAGAATTGATGGAAAGAACAATAAAAATCAACAATGGAAGTAATGGAACATACTATAAAACTAGTCAAAAGCAACAGCTATACTGATACAAACTGTTTTTTCTTTCTTTTTTCAAGTTGTATCATAGATGTGATCACCTCAACCACCTTCTGAGATCACTAGTTGAAGATGGGGACATCTCACCGCCAAGGCTCTCGATACAATAAGAAGAATAGTTAGACTATAACTGTAACTTCCTATAACTGTAACTTCCGTATCCCATCCCAATGTCGTACAGTCCTGGGACAGGAAACGATAGCCTTTTCTTCGCCGAAGCAATTCGGTCCCTCTCTGGTGTTGATGGCCTCTGCCTCTGCCTCGTAGCACTTTGGGACCTGATCCCGGCTTTTGCAGACTCTGTTGATGCCATGTAATTAGGCAACATGCCGGTGTTATTGCCAATGACACTGGTTCTCTAACCTCACCAATCTTAAGTGCTCAATCTAAGAGGAAATAACTTCTTGGGTACCATCCCTTTTTGGATAGGAAATTTTTGCAAGTTGAGGATTTAGAGACTCAATTCTAACGGTAATCTTCACAGTGGAATCATCAGGTTTTTGGACCGTTTATCAGCTTGCCGAAATAAAAGCTTGGAGATACTCCATCTCGGAGGCAAAAAACTAGATAGAAGACTTCCAGAATCATTAGGTGCATTCAAGAATTTGCAATAACTTGACCTCAACACTAACTTCTTTTGGGGTTCAATTCAGCTTCTATAGGGAATTTGTCATCGTTGTGGTTATTGGAACTCTCGGATAACAAACTCAATGGCACAATACCCCAAAGTTTGGGAAAACTAACTGAGCTATCAATACTGGACCTGGTAGAAAACCATATGGAAGGTGTTTTGACAGAAACCCATTTAGCCAATCTCACAAGAGTAGACTCTTTCATACTCACAACGTACCCTAACAGGTCTTTGATTTTTAATGTGAATCAGGATTGGGCTCCTCCTTTCAGGCTTAAAACTCTGGTACTGATTAATTGCTTGGTAGGTCTTTATTTTCCAGTTTGGCTGCAAGTTCAGACCCATCTTTCCTATGTTATACTTTCAAATGCTGGGATTTCGGACACCATAGAAGAAGAATGGTTTGCCAGGTTATTTTCTAATTCCTGGTACGTAGACCTGTCAAACAATTCCATCAACGCCAAACTACCGTTGGAAGTTCACTCCGAAAGGTTGGATGTTGTTGATTTGAGCAGGAATCGTTTCGAGGGTTACAACCCTCTTTGGTTGACTAATGCAACAGATGTGTATCTACAGAGAAATTCATTTTCAGGTTCTATTGCGGACAATATCGGGGAACTAATGCCATGGTTAAAACTTTGTTTCTTTCTCGGAACCAGATCTGCGGCAGGCTGTCATCATCGATATCCAAGATGAAGCGGCTGAAATTTCTCTCTGTCGGTTACAACAGACTCTTCGAACAACTCCCGGATTGTTGGAATAGATTGAGAAGCTTAAAACTTTTGGATGCCTCCAACAATAGCCTATCTGGTGAAATCCCAAGTTCCTTAACTTCGTCATGCAACCTTGTTGTGTTTATGTTGGGCGACAATAGTCTTCGTGGGAAGATTCCTTTTCCACTAGATAGTTGTCGGGAAGTACCATGGTTTTACGTTCTTAACTTCGATCAAACCTGCTTGAGGGGAACATTCTTGAACAACTTTGTTATCTTTCTAATATCCACCGTTTAGATCTTTCGAACAATAATCTTATTGGGTCCATTCCCAAGTGTTTCCACAATTTCACCGCCTTGAAATACGGGAATGCAACTTTGGACTACGAGTATTTGTTTGAAGTCCAAGATAACACCATTGGTGAGCAAACAATGCTGGTCGGGACAAAGGGAAGGGAGCTTGAGTATAGCAAAACTTTTCTGAAGATGAAGAACATTGACCTTTCTAGGAACAAACTTACAGGTGAATTCCCCATAGGTCTATGTAACTTGGCCTTTTTGGACACGTTGAATTTATCGAGAAATCATTTAAGTGGAAATATTTCCGACAACATCGGTGATTTACGATGGTTGAAGTCCCTTGATTTATCGTTCAACAAATTTTCAGGTCCCATTCCTCGAAGCCTCTCATCATTGACGCTATTGAATCACTTGAACTTGTCTTACAACAACTTATCGGGAAGAATCCCAACAGGGAATCAGCTCCAGACGCTCAACGATTCATCCAATTACGAAGGCAATCCATTTCTCTGTGGGTTCCCCTTTCAACAAGCTGTCCAGGAGAAACCATCTCTCCTACCACACCATATTCTCGAGATGGTGATGATTCGAAAGACAAGTTGTTTCTCTATCTTAGCATTGCTATGGGATTCATTGTGGGATTTTGGGGTGTTTGTGGTACCTTGGTTTTGAAGGAATCATGGTGGCATGCTTATTTTCGATATGTAGACGAGTTGAAGGAGAAGGTGTTACTTTGGATTGCATTATTTGGATTGCATTAGCAGTTGCTCGCTCGCAAAGGATGTTCGCCAAGGAAAATAATTAAGATATCTAGAATTGCATTATGTAGTACGTTGGTACTTTGTTGCCGAATATCAGAGCTTTTGTTTGGGTTTTTAGACTTTTAGTTTTACGTTGGTACTTGTTTTTATTTTAAAGTAATATTATTCCATTTTTTTGGATAATTAAAATTTTTATTACCCAAATGAGCATAATTCTGCTACAAAACAATCATCAAAGGAAAGTCAACAAAATCATGAATAACCTATTACAAAACAAATTATAGGTTATTCAAGACTCCAATTCTTACAAAGAGTGATATTAATACTATCTAGTCTATTAATGTTCCGACCTCTTAGTTGAATGCCGACCATCTCCTTGATAGCTTTAAGAATTTCAACTACAGTTCTAGAGTTTCCTTTGAACAATCTTCTGTTTCGTTCCTCCCATAGAGAATAGAGGAGTGCACACCATGCAAGTTTCAATATAGTGATAAGAAGGGATTTACCTTTCCAAGTAAGGGAAGTCGATGCTAAAAAGTTGTTCCAGGACAGTGTTGTTGACCTTAATCCGGAGAGGTGCAGAATGGCCTTCCAGAGGGAGTTCACCATTGAACATTGAAGGAACAGGTGGTCTCTTGTCTCCCGATCTTCATTACACAGAACACATAAGCCATCAGTTATAATGCCTATTTGTTGAAGCCTATTCCGAGTGGGAAGTCTGTCCAAGATAGCCATCCAAGCAATCATTTTGTGTTTTGGAATGTGTAGAGGAAACCAGATTATGTTATGCCAGTTGACTTTGTCTCCTTTAACTCTAATCTCGTCCCAGATGGCACGAGTCGTCGTAGCTCTTGTAGAAAAAACAGTTTGTGCTTCTCTTTTAAGGTTTAGAAGCTTTCTGAAGCTCCAACTAGCATTAGTACCACCTTCTTGTTGGAGAAAACGTGTTATTTCCCACACGAACGTAGTTTTAAAATTGACCTAAAATGTCAAGATTAAAACCACCAAAGGTTGCACAGCGGATAAACCTGTCAAACTATTGAATATTGAAACACAATGGAAAAGAACCGAATAAAAAACAATAAAGGAGAGAACACACCAAATTTACGAGGTTCGACGAGAATATTGTCTACTCCTCGGGCACCACACCGGATGATAACTTCACTATATCGCCAATATTACAACAAATGGAATTCTTTGGAATTCCCAAAGTGGGAGAATAAAGAATACAAGAGGAAGAGAGAACTTGTTTTTGGGATGATTTCTAATGGAAATACTTAGGCCTATTTATAGTTGAGTTTCAAGAACAATATGTTCAAAGTTTGGCCACCTACCAAAGAATTTTCCAATGTGTACAAGTTAGCCACCAAATATGAAATTCACATGTTCAAAGTTTGGCCACCAACCAAGATGAAATTTCCAATAAGTTGGCCACCAACCAAGATGAAATTTCCAACTTGTCAACTTAATTTCTAGACAAATCTAACACTTTTGAATGCCAGAAGTCTTTATTTTTTAACACATAGAATTTCACCCAAGCTACCCACAGTGATCCCTCTCCTGCTAGGATGTTTCTGATTAGCTGGATCATGCATGCTTTGTTCCATGCTTTTAGGTCCTTTAAGCCAAGTCCTCCTTCAGATTTCGGATGGCATATCAATTTCCAGCTTACTCTAGCTCCAGTAGCAGCCGTGTCAGAACCTTTCCAGAGAAAGCGAGAGCAAAGTTGCTGAATTCTGTTTATAATAGACTGTGGTAAAAGTAACTGCCTGCACCAGTAGTTAGCAACACTAAATATGACAGCTCTGATAAGTTCAAGTCTACCTGCATAAGACAAGTGTCTTCCAGTCCAGTGTTGGAGTTTGGATTTTATTTTTTCAATGAGAACTACACAGTCTTTTTCAGAGAGTTTTCTCGTAACTAGAGGTGATAGATTCGTAGACCTAAATTTGGGTAATGTCAGTGGTTATACCGAGTTGAACTATTCATAACCAACAGATTGAAGGATTGTTATTCTACTTTGAGCTGTCTGCTTCGTAGGGTACAAATTTGAGTGCTATAGTCTGCCGTCTTCCATGCCTAGTTGGTCTCATTCACTGTGTAGTAACATGCCTCAAACAAACTAAATATATAGACAAAGTTGTATACATCATTTAGTCTTTGATTCATAATTTCAAAGTAAAAATTAAATAAATAATACATTTAACGGTCTCTTAACTTAAATTTAAAGAGATTCCTTTATTAGATTCTCCGACCTCGTTTTTCTTGAAAAACGGATCTGTTATGTCCGGCCCTTTTTAGCCCACGTGCCCTATTTTGATTAAAGATGTAAACACTGTGGTCGCATGGTCCGCCCCCACGCCCCCACCTAACATGATTAACTCTCTAATTGTGTGTGATTAACAAGAATTATGACCCATCGACGGCAACCCTGCTCTCGCAGTCTCCTTTATACTAACAACCAATTTTTGACTAAGCCTCGTAATGTCCTAGTCGGCACTCGGCACCACCAATCTCTTGTCCCCGTTTGGTCTCCACTTTCACCACTTTGTAATTTCGTGCAATTTCAAGTTTTGCATGACAACTTCAATCCATTCCCATTAACAGAGATCAATTCACATGAGTTGATGAGTATTTCTTAATATTTTAATAAATATTATGTTGAATCTAATTAATAATTTTCAATAAATGATTTATATATGTTGATAGGAATAAATTGATTTTACTTTGTAGTTAGCGATTCATCCCTTTCAATTCGAACGATAAATCGTGATCAATGGGAGAATGACCGTTGACCAATATTTTTGTATAGGAGAAAATAATCATGGAGGATAAGACGACCTAGGGGTTGCAAAGATCCCACCTTTTTTCAGCATTTGGTTGGAACTATTTATAATGGTCTTTAGTATGTGTCAGTCCTAATGATATTATGGCTATTTGTAGATTAACGATTAGGCATGTTTGATTGTTTAGACCCTAGATTACATTTTGGTAAGTTATGTGAGTATTTTAAAGATTTTGTCTATACACTATAGTTGACTATGGGATCTATGTTTAGAAGATACAAGCTCATTTATGAAAGTTATCTTAAGAGATATAATAATACATATTAATGTTAATTGTATACAAAAATAATGGTATATATTAATCTTAAATCGAGAAAATAAATTCAAAAATGTAATACAAATAATGGGTTTTGGATGCCATATTGGTGTAAGCCTTTTAGTGGGGGGGGGGGGGGGAAGGTTGACGGGGGATATACACCCAAATTTTCATCACCCACGCAGGAAATTAAAACTTTTTTGAGAAATTCATTGACGATAAAAAAATCTTCATGTTCTTTTGATTTTGTACAATGGAAATTGCTGCCCAGGAAAAAGACATTACAATCAAAGTGAAAATAATGTATTAAAGAGTTTGTTTGATGCTGACATTAACTGGTGTTTATGTTGTTTGGAACTGTTGGTTAAATTCTCCTTGACGATGATTGTTCTTTCTTTTACCACTATACTTTAGTAAATTTCTTCATCGTTCAGCTGACAAATGCTTATGTACCGAAAGGAAGGTAAATATAATTATATATTGTTTAAATAGGACTGTAGATTAAGCATCAAATAGTTAAGACACCATGGCTTAGAGCAGGAAAGTGCAACATCTTTTTTACTGAAAAAAAGATGTTGGTTTGAACAAATATCTGAGATGTAAAGATTGGAGAAACCCTAGGCCTAATTTATGATAATAGAAGACTGTTTTTTTTCTGCTTGCGATAATATTTTAATTTGGTTGACATTATTCGATCGTTACTTAATTTTGAATATTCAAAAATATTTCAAAAGATGAATTTGATTCATGGGATGAATAAAAAGGGGACCTCCCTCGTTTTAGCTAACTAATCATGAAAGTGCCCTTTTCTACAATAACCAATGGTGGTCAAGGAACAAGACGACATCTCTTTTTTATTTTTTTTCAACTCTCAACCATATCATTAGGGCATTCTCTCTTCCTTCTCTCAACAAATCTAATTCATCCACCTGTACAGATAAAAAGTGGTTTAACCTACCAAGTAATCATACTTAAATACACTAGTCAAGGTTGACGACCCTATTGTCGTCCACCGGATTATATGAGAAGATGCATGGACCATTAAGCAATCCATCCAACACCTAAAACAATCCGACAAACCATGTGGCTCAGGTTGATGATCATTGTATATACAAAAGAGAAAAAAGGTGATTAGATTTATTGTTATTATTAATATTATTATTATTATTGCTGTTAGGTATTATCAAATCACCCAGAAACTGCTAGATTTTTTTTCCTGAGAGCGAATTTGATGATAATGGTAGACAAATTGATTAATTAAAGATAATGTGGTTGACAATGTCGAATTTTTATTTAATATTATATATATTCATCAACATAAGTGATGTAATAATAACCTTTCTGACTATGGTAACTAAGGTATGATTATATATATTGGGCTATTCTGTTATACACTAGCATTCACCACGTGGCAGCACGATGGGTCGGATGATGACAAAGATGATGACGATGCTCCGGTGAAACTCCATATGTCTATTTCGCTGTTGAAATGATGTTGAGTTCCATGGTAAGGCCTGTTGGTGGATATTGATGACGATGATGATGATAATCCAACGGTCGACAATTGGAGATCTTGACTATCAGTGGTACTGGTGTTGCAGTAGGTTGCCATTGTTTGGTCACTGAAGCGGGCCAATTGTCTCGATGTCTCTGTTTCCCCGCCATTGAGATGAGAAGCTACAATCCGGTCGACTGCTGCCCAGTTGGTGAGCCCTAAGTCATTGTGATGATTAACGGAGTTGTGATCACCGATGCCACAGCCACTCACCTGGTTGAGGATTGAGCCTTCGTTTTCCGTCATCATGGGTTGGTAACAGTTTTGGCTGCTGGTTGAGTTCGGGCTGTCTAGGCTCGGGAGCTTCGTGAACGGGTCAGGGTAGCCATTGTTGTCGATGGCA